CTCGCCGATATAAATTATGTTAATGAGATTAGAAATGAATCTTTTTGTATTTCTCATAACTTACATTTTCCTACACGATATGACGCTCATTTGCTTTGAAGGTTAAGTTTTTTGTATGTATTTTGGCTGGCACATTGTCTAAATTTAAAGTCTAGCTATCAATTATGTACAATTTGGCACAAAAAATATAGAGATGGATGTAGGAAACGACATTTCAAATTGATGTTTCGAGGTTTTAATTTTGAAATTTACTGGGCGGCAATTTTATGTGGGTTTTTACAAGTTAAAAAATAAATGCCGAATTGGCAAAACTTAAGTTCAAAAGGCCTTATTTTATTATAGACTAGAGTGCTTGAAAATAGGAATATGTGCCGCGTATGGCAAAAAAAAAGTATTGAAAATAGTTCATTTTCACCAGTGGAATTAATGTTTTTGTGAACTCCACATATAAAGGGGTAGTTTGTTCAACTTTATGCCCAGTCGCCTTTACTTTCCCTAACGTGGGGAACAACGTTCCCTCTAAGAGGAAAAAGCTCGAGTGCAAAGTTTATTTTGTATGCACGGTGTTCTAAAAGTCGTATACAAGTATTATACAAAACAAGCCGACCCGCGGCATATCATACGCCGCTATTTAGTTGTTTTATTTTCTACTTTTCAGTAATTCATAATTTGTGAATTCGACAGTACCAATGCTGCCACTGATAATATGTGCTTTAAAACACTACCAGTAGCTCTTTAAGGACGATACTACCCCCACCCTCCTTTCCCCCAACCCCTACCCTACACCCCCCCACCCCCCCTTGGAAGGCAGCCTCCTCTTAGCTACCTCCCCTAAGTTTAAAAACTAAATTACCTGCCCCTAATAGTCGTCACTAAACCCGGCTCTCATTGTAAACATTTAGCGTGAACCACAGCTCACCAGACCATGTAGGGGTGGGGTGGTAGGGAGCGCGCTTACAGCTTGGTGTTTTCTAGCGTCTCCAAGAAGAGAATTATATATATAGATGACTGCGAGGCAGGGTCAAAACTACTGCGCGGCCGCGCAACCGTGCTGCTTTAAAGGGAAAATTGGGAATGAATAATATGCCCATCAGTTATGCGCTCTACCACCCCGTCCCATTAAGATTTCTCTAGTGGTGTCAACAAATCGAAAAATTGTAGATTATACTGACTAACCAATATTCCATCTAGCTAAAAAAATAAATTAGCCGGAGAAGCCGGGTGAAACCAAACCGAATATATACATTTTTTGAGGGGGTGACACAATTAGTTTACGCACTAGTGACACCCCGCCTGGTGACGCCACAAAATTTACCAACAGTTTTGGTAGATTTTTTGAAAAGTGTCATCGCTTCAATATGTTATGTTGGTTGTTCTTAAGAAACTTTGAGTGGGAAAAGCCTCACTGTGATTACATTTTGTATATTATAAATAACACTTCTCTTCTTCTTCTTCTTCGTTCTTACTTCTAGTGTTGGAAGAGATTCCCTCCAACACAATTCAGTATTACGTGTCAACGTGTTATACGCCATATAGTATATGGACTCCGATTTCCATGTGTAATAACCAAACGTAGCTTCTTTCTTCATCTTCTTCGTTCGGAATTCTAGTGTTGGAAGTTGAAACAATTCAGTATTACTTGTTATAATTTCAGCATGCTTTTTAGTTTTCTATTTGGATTTGCTTCCATAGCCTTTATCCAAAAAAACAAAAACAAAAAACTATATATCAGCAGTTGTTTGATTTTGGAGTTGTTGAGTTGCTGTCCCCAGCTATCGAGCCTCATCTGCCCATGAGTTTAACCGACCCGCCCACGCTGAACTCAAAACTTCTCTTGAACTTCAGAAAATTCGAGTGGAAGTGGTACGGAGCTCTAAATATAGCCCACGTTTGTGTACCAACAGTGAGTGACGTCACATGGCCTTGACCTCTGGCGTAGGACCCAGCCATTGCAACAGGGGGCGTCCATTAAACCGCATCAGACACGTGTCGTAGTCTAAAAATTCTGATAGTTACGGCCATCACCGTTGACAGTTGGCCACGATATGCTCTAAATACTCCCCTTACCAGCATACACTTCCCCCTCCCTTGTGGTTTTTTGTGTAAAGGATGGATAGGCCTAAAAAAAAAGAAATATATTGCTTTCATCAGTAGCGGGTCGCATGATGCGCGACTTAGGGCAAGGATGGAGAGAGTTTTGCGCATCTCGCAATCTGTGCCGCGCAGTAAATGTGTCATGGCGGACTGATATCTAGGTCACGTGACGGGTCAAAAGGTCGTGTGTGAATTAATTGGGAGGGCGATTTATATTTTTTTTAAATGCAAGCTGTCTCTTTAGTGTGACTCCTGCACTGGTGTGGTGTGACGCATGCAGTAAACAGTGACTCCAGGTTCTGTACTAATGTGGGCGATTTCGGCATCTGAGTTGTCGAGAGGGGCTTGATTTAAGGAAAATGACTCCTGCACTAAAGCAGTGTGACTCCTTGACTCATACATTAAGATGGTGCAACTTCTATTCTAATACAGTGTGACTCCTATACTAAGACAGTGTGATTCTGGCACTAAAACAGTGACTCCTTAAGTCTTATTCATTATTAAAACAATGACTCCACTAAAACCGTGACTCCATTTTAAAGTCTTACCTGTACATTAAACAGATGAGCTCCTGCGTCTAAACAGTGACTCCAGTTCTAACATAGTGCGGCTCAGGCCCCAAAACAGTGACTCCTATATGTGCACAGTGTGACTCCTGCAACTAGGCAGTGACTCCTACACTTAGACAATGACTCTTGAAATCACACATTGACTCCTGCACTAAGCCAGTGTGACTCATCAACATAGACTCCTACTGTAAGAAAATGTGACTCTTGCAATGGCAATCAAACTGTGACTCTTGCACTAACACAGTGTGACTCTTGCTATCAGACAATGACTTCTGCTCTAGGACAATGACTCTGGCAATTGAACACGAGTACATTCCCATCCTATGATAGATCTCAAAGAGGCGTAGCGAGGGGGGGTGCGGACCGAAACGGGTGACGCCATTTAGGGGGGGGGGGGTGATACCAAAGCAAAAATAGCAAAATATATAGAGAAAAACTTGAGTGGGGGGGGGGGTGCAAATCAAAAGTTTGAGGGGGGGGGGGTGCAAATCGAAAATTTGAAAGTTTGTCCCCGGGTGACACCCGACCTCTCTACGCCACTGCTCAAACTTGTGAGATAGAGTGTTGAAATGACTGGTTGACTGTTTTCTTATTTTCTTTTTCTTCTTTCTTAAGTGAAATGTCGGAAATGATTCCCTCCAACACAATTAAGTATTACTTGTCAACTGGTTATGCGCCATATATGCCGTTGACTCTAATTTTAGACTGCTTTTCTTTTTGGGTTTGCCTCCATAGCCTTTGTCCATCCAAGAATAAACACCCAAGGCAGCAGTTGTTTGATTTTGGAGTTGTCTTTCCTACAAGAGTTGCTGCCCCCCAGCTATCGAGTCTCATCTGCCTGGGGGTTCGAACTCGGGACTTTTCGGTTTAGCAACCATGAGCTTTTACCGGCCATATTGTCTTGCAAACCATTTCATAAGGAACTAGAAAACACAATCGCACTTGTTTGTACTTTCTCGTATACGAAGTATAGAGAAATTATTGTAATAGTGCAACATTTTTTTTAAAAAAAAATCGAGATTTTTGCAAATCTCAACGTTTTACACCTCCCTGAGTCAGAAAAACATAGTTTTGCAATCTTGTCCGTATGTCTGTGTGTGTGTGTGCGCGCGCGCGCGTGTGTGTGTGTGTGTGTGTGTGTAAACACAATAACTTGAGTGCCGTTACAGCTAGGTTGATGAAATTTCTTATATAAGTATAATATCAAATGTGTAGATCTGTATCAGCTTTTCAGCGATTTCCGATAAACGGAAGTGGAACTTTTTCTACTTTCAATTTTTCAAAAGCCTATAATTTGAGTAATGTTTCAGATAAATAAATGAAATTTCACATGTAAGTAAACGATCTAATTCTCTACCTTCTGTCAAATTTTGAGCAATTTCCGAGAACCGGAAGTAATAATTTACGCTATTTCCGATTTCTCAAAAACGCATTTGAATTTATAAAGAACTAATAATATTCCGCACTATTATACACATTTTGTTTGGCTTTCACATGGTGCGCAATTCTTTTTTTCTACGCGATTCTATTCTATTTTTAAAAGTTTAAGTAATTAAAAATGGATTAACATTAATGTCTATATCCCGAGTTGCTATCCCCAGTAGTGTTATATAAGAATATTCGAGAAAGTTTAGGGGAGATCACTCCCGGTTTATTTTGTATGGCTGTGGATTGCATCACACAGCCAAGGTAATAGCCAAGTGATCTGAAGGGGGGGGGGGGTGTTAGCCTGTAATAAATCAACGCTTGTCATAATGGATGATTTTTATGTCGGGCTAGGCAGTTTTCAAAGTGACAGTTTGAAAGAAAAGGAGGAGGGGTGGGCTTAGACATTTTTTTGTGTTCGGCGTTTAACCGAATGACGTCAGTGATGTTTGTTGCTCGTATGACGTCACAAACTGATGGCGCGTGACGGGCTGACGTCACTGCTGGCTGTCCCATGTGTGTACATGCGTAGAAACGGGGGGGGGGGGGGGCAGATTTGTCTGCTGCCCTAGTGATAGGGACGTCGTGGTCGGATGGTAGAGCTCGATTTCAGATCCCTGGTTCGAATTCGTAGGATGCCCATGAGTCCACCCAGCTTTAACGGGTACCTGACTTATATTAGGGAAAGTAATACGGACGTAATACTGATCACACTATTACATCATGTAACGATGGTCACAAAAAGAAGTTAACTATACTTTATCTGCCTCACTGATCGGCAGATTCGAAAGGGTAAAATTAATATGTGCCAGTAGTAACAAGAAATAAAATAATAATTTAAAAAACAACATAAATATTTTTCATGTATTTTATTCTTCAACATATTCATGAGATAGGCAGTGTAAACGCCAAAATTACAAGAACTCAATATAACTGCCGGTCACAGTTATTCACGCTCACAAACATACACACAAACACACACACACGCACACACACTCAGACATACTCTCACACACATACCCAATAATGCTGTATTAAATATTATTTAGCATTCATACATGGCAGTGGTCAAGATCAATTCAACAAGAAACAAATCAATCAGAAAAAAGCAAAATATTTATCTTTAACATAACAATATATTTTTAAAAATATTCATAGTAAAAAAATCGATGAAAAAATAAATTAATGTATATAAAATATTTTGTAGAATAAAAAAATAATTTGTAACAAAATGTAAAAAAATAAATTGAACACAGCCCTTACTATATACAAACTTACATAGTGATCAGCATATAAAATATATATATATATACCCAACACATTGACGATATTCTGGTTGTGTGAGAACCGTTGAAAGACGAGGCTTGGAAATGTTTGTGAACACGGAAAATGGATGATGTTACATAGACAACTGACGGAGTTCTTGAGATGGGTTATACAACCTAAGGCAAATAATGGACTCGTCCGTGGCCAATAATGGACTCACCCGTGGCTAGGTAGTAAAAACTAAGGCAAATAGTGGACTCTCCCATGTTAGTTCAACATGAAGTATTCTATCTATTCTCCCTTGGCTAAAAGTGGATTCGTCCATGGCTAGTAAAACCCAAAGCTAATAGTAGACTCTCCCATAATAGTTCAACATAAAGCAGTCAATCTATTCTCCCCTGAGTGACAGTGGACTAAACCATGACTAATATTACCTGAGTCATAACAGTGGACTCGCCCGCGGCTAATAAAGCCTATGGCAAATAGTGGACTCTTCCATGTTCATTAAACATGAAGCAGTCTATTTATTCTCCCTAGGCTAAAGGTGGACTCGTCCATGGCTAGTAAAACCTAAGGCAAATAGTGGACTCTCCCATATTAGTTCAACATGAAGCAGTCAATCTATTCTCCCCTGGCTAATAGTGGACTCACCCATGGCTAGTAAAAGCTAAGGCAAATAGTGGACTCTCCCATATTAGTTCAACATGAAGCAGTCTATCTACTCTCCCTTGGCTAAAAGTGGACTCGCCCGTGGCTAATACTACCTCATTCGTAACAATGGACTCGCCCGTGGCTAATACAACATAAGGCAAATAGTGGACTCTCCCATGTTAGTTCAACATGGAGCAGTCTATCTACTCTCCAAAGGCTAGTACTACCTGAGTCAAAATAGTGGACTCGCCCGAGTAATAACAACCTGAGGATACCAAATGGACTCGGCCGTGGCTAATACAACCTAAGGCAAATAGTGGACTCTTCCATGAAGCACAGTGGATTCTTCCATGAAGCAGTCAATCTACTCTCCTACGGCTAATACTACCTGAGGCAACTAAATGGACTCGCCCATGGCTAAATTAGCCTTGAGGCAAATAGTGGACTCTTCCACGAAGCAGCCAATCTACTCTCCTCTGTCTAATACTACATGATGCAGTCATCTGACTCTTCTACTACGGATAGAGCTGAACGTGACAACACCACCTACTACTCTACTACACAAAAGACATTAAACCAACGGCACATGCCAAAAAATAGCTGGACGCCTACAAGAAAAAATTGTCATGAGCCCCACCACAACTGTCAACAAACTTTACACTGTCATGACACTTGGCACTGTCAACATCTTTGCACCTGGCAGTGTCCGTGGATGACTCCCCCAGGTGCGTACAGTGACTGTCCAGCAACGAGTGAAGCCTGGCAAGGTCAAAGGTCGGACACGACTGTGTATGGCACAGCAACACGGCGGGATGTGATGAAATGAGTTGATCGCTGCAGGGATCCGAACCCGGGACGCCTAGGTGAGGGAACGGTCGTATATTGTCTATCTGCGGGTGGAAGGCTGCGCTGCTTTCTGTGGAGTCGAGTTCTAGAGCCTCATTCGTGTAGCAGAAAGCGGGGGAACTATGCTCGGAGTGTCGTATATGTGCCCCCGTCGCTAAAAGTTGTGGGTAGACGTGGGTTAAATAACTGCTGGGGGTTATATGCGGGGTCAAGTACCCGGGGTACGTTTGTTTTTGCACGCCTGATGAAAAACTTTTTATCAGTCGAGATTTCACAATAGGAGATTGTTCAGAAGTTTCGACTAACACGTACGCCGGGCTCTTTGATCCGAATGCGCATGCGTGATTTGCGATGTCACGTAACGTTCTTGTGGATTGGCTGAAATCTAAGGAAAACCTCCTAGAAGGTTTGGTTGGGGTGAGTTCTTTGACGGAATCCAAGTTACAACAACTCGCTGTTTGCCTGCGTAGTTTTTTGTTCACTTGAGCGAAACGAGGCTCGGACGAGGACTTGATGCTGCCTTCAACTCCCGAGTCTTCAGGGGAGTTGACTCCCCGCTTCAGCTTCTCGTTGAGGACCTCTAGTGTCGTCTCCAACAGCGTGGACACCATCCGGCTGTCCGTCCGGCTCAACCTCGGCGTGCTGCTAATCGCCGATACTAAACTCGGACGCCGGTCTGCCGGCTTGCAGAACCGGTCCGAGCAACATTCTTTCAACATCCGGCGAAAAGCCGCGCGGAATTCATTGTTCTTGAAAGCGTAGATCCAAGGGTTGATGCCGCTGTTGAGGACGGCAAGAAGGATGAGGTAGGTCTGTAGCCAGATGTTAAATTTAATGGCGCTGATTGTAAGCGCGAAGATGTAGATCAGATAAGGGAACCACAGCGCTAAGAAAACGCCTATCACCAGCGCTAATGTTTTAGCGTATTTTGTGTCCTTGAGCATGAACTTGACCTGAAGACGGCCGTGTACGGCCAGTTCCATGGCCGCGATGGCTTTCGCGTGGTGCCGCGCGACCATGAAGATCCGGAAATAACAGACGAGGATAGCCACGCAGGAGGGGAGGAAAATGGCGACGAGGAACAGCAGCGAGGCTTTGCCTTTGAGGAGATCGGACGAGCAGGGGGCTAACTCTGTCGGGACGTCGTACCAGCCCACCATCAAGGGCAGCCAGACGATGAAGGCCGAGTACACCCAGGTCAAGGTCACGAGGGTCATGACCTTGCGGGTGGTCATGATGTTGATGTATTCCAGCGGGGAGACCAGCGCGGTGTGGCGGTCGTAGGCGATGGTGGCTAAAGTCAGGACGGACACGCCGCACGCCATCATCAAAACGCGGTTGGGCAGCAGGCACAGCAACACATCCTGCGGGCCGCTGGCGCCGCCGAAATGAAACACCTCCACCACGACGAAAAAAGGCACGGCCAAGGATACCAAAATGTCCACGGCGGCAAGTGAAGTGATAAAATAGTTCGTCGGCGTATGAAGACGCCGGTACCGCACCACGCTGACGAAGACTAAAAGATTGCTGCACAAGATAAACGGCACCATCAAGGATACCAGAGTCACGGCGCCAACGTCAGCCGCCGACCAGGAATCGGAATCCGAAGGCTGGATGTAAACGGAATCCTCCGTGCTGTTCACAGTCTGAGAACCCTCGGTGAAAACCGTCGATGACATCACGTCGTGGAGTAAACCAGACACAGCGCTGGCACCGGACGACGCCGCGTCCGCTAATCTCGAGACCAATTCGTGTTCGTCGTACAGCGTTTCCGCTTCTGACGTAGGCGGAAGTGAAGATGACGTGCTGCGGTCTACATCCGGGTGTTTGAGCGCTTTGGTCCCGTGCTCAGCGAATTGTTTTTCCAGCATGTGTTTAATCTCGCCTCCATGTAAGACGACTTTCGTGATGTCGAAGTCTACGAGAATCCCATTATCTTCGGCATCGATGGACATTTTGTCGAACAGAAATTCAACTTTCGTTTTCAACAGCCGAGATTCGTGAAGACTTGCCGGTTGTTTTATTCATCAATATCAGACATCGTAGGGTTAAATGAAAATTTCTTTCTGAAATTAAAATAATTTAGAGTTAATATAGAAAAATAAGTTAATTAATCGCATTTAAAATAATTAAATTGCGAAAAAGGTATCCACGCAAGAAGACCGTCACAAAATAAAAATAACAAAAAATTAATTAAAAAACGTTTTAATAACAAGCTTTTATGTAATAATGCACTAAAAAAGTGGAAAATAAATTATACACTACTATTTAAATAACTATAAAGAAAAGCGTGGGCCACTTTAGTATCTATTGGATACCTTTACTAATATTTGAGAAGAGACCCACGCAGTAAAACACGTCTTACGAAGTACATCCGCGAAGCGAAACGTCGCCAGCTGTAACTGCGTTCGTCAAAACCTACGCGGATTTTATAAAACTTCCATTCCGGAAATGCAGTTTAAAAAAAAAAACTTCTCGGAACTGTTATGAAAATTTGTGACAGTACTACAACCCGCTAATGATATTTGGAAAGCCCCAGCAATTAAAAACATGAACTGAAAGACAGAAACAATTAGCACGAGAGACCTTGAGGGTTTTTTCACTCATATATTTTATGTCTTTGACAAGAAACAAAGATTGATGCCGGAAAATTATTATCCGAGTTGCATTAGGAAACGTCAAATCACGTGATAAAATGATTTTTATTTTTTTTAATGATGAGAGAGTTCCCTGGATACAACTACCTGCAACTCAACTCCCCCCCCCCCCAGTAAATTCTCCCACAGCAAACCCCCACCCCATTACTTTATGAGATCGCCTTTAAACTCACTGTACATAGTAATAAATATTCAATCCATATAACTAAACAACCGAGCTTAGACTAATAAAATATAAGTACGTCCTACACTTCTATTGATTCAATTCGTTTTTCAAATAAATCTATAAGTTTAAGGTCATGAATATATAGAAAAAACATTTAAGTGAAAGGCTTCACGTTATTCTTGCCGCGTATATACATATACACGTTAAAACAGTATATAAACATATATATATATATATATATATATATATATATATATATATATATATATATATATATATATATATATATATATAGGCAGACAGATAGATAGACAGACAGGTAGAAAGACAGAAAGATAGATGGATAGAGAGATACATACATATTAAACATATATATATATATATATATATATATATATATATATATATATATATATATATATATATATATAATTTATATATATTAAGCTACAACCACTAAAGTACTTTGTGAAGGACGGCGGAGAGGTGGATGACACTGGTCATTTATCAGACCCCCCCCCCCCATTACAGACATGCACATGCAATTATGTAAACGGACATTGCTTTAATTACCTTGCCGACGAAAAGTAAAAAGTAAAAAAAAAAAGTAAAAAAAAAAAGGAAATTTATAAATGACCCGGATGGTTGACATGATGAAGACGGAGTGGGAAAGTTATGTAATTCCCTTATCACGTGGTACGGTCAAGGATTTTTTTTGTTATAGACAGAAGCTTTGTTCAAATAGTACATCGTCCGGCAGTTGAGTCGTAGAGAGGGATTAACAGAGCACAAGCATATATATATATATATATATATATATATATATATATATATATATATATATATATATATATATATATATATATACAAATATATATATATATATATATACAAATATATATATATATATACAAATATATATATATATATATTCATATATATATATATATATATATATATATATATATATATATTCATATATATATATATATATATATAAATATATATATATATATATATACATATGCATGTATGTATAATGACTAAACACATGTATTAAAATCAATGTTAATCTATAAACATTTATAAAAGCGTTATCGTTATGGGTGAGTACTTAATATTATTGATCGTTTGGATTTGCTAGTAGTACACATGTTTGCGAACATAACTATTGATGTAATATTATATATATACTTTTAAATTTAAATTTGTAATTGTTTTCATGTTTACATTTTGTGGAGACATATTGTACGGTACTTTATAATTTTTAATTATAGGTTTGTAATACATATTTTTATAGACGATTATTGTTTTTAAAAAATAAAATATTTTTAATCAACATTTAAAAAAACAATATTGCTAATTACCTGCACAATATGTTAAATTATAAAAGCGCGGGTAGTTTACATCCTTTTTATTTTACCAGTATTCGTTTTTCTCTTATATAAAAAAATAAAATTATTTTATAGCGGTAGGTAATTACTGTAAAAAAAAAATTCTCTAAACAATCGAACACAATGTCAGAAAACTCACTGTTAATGATTCCATGTTTTAGTAAGAGAAGGAGAATAGAAACTGGGAGAATCTGTTTCTCCTGAATCTATAGAGGTACGTCGAGCGGTATCCAGGTATGAACTAACGCAGGTAAACAAGACGGTCCTGGCTTTTTACCTGAGGTGCGGTGACGTCGAGGCTAGTTGGTGACAAGACCACGCTTGCTGAATCCGGACTGTAGGTAAAATAATCGGTGGCAAAACGCGCGCGAGCTTTTGTGAGGGTGTAGGACAGGGAGGGTGGGGGAGGGGAGATGAGGGGAGGGGGGTAAGAATTTGATATGGAGTAATGGTGTGGATTTCGAGTTCGAGGCTTGTTACCGCACTAATCTACAGTTACGAGAGTATGCACACAACCACGAGTCTAACCGCTTCACAAGTGCTACAGCCACACGTCCTGCCAACAACCACACGACATGCCAGCTGCCACAGCCACACCAGACACTCACACACACACACACACACTCGTACCTACCCATCCACACGATTATCCCTGCCACAAACCATACAATCAACTCTCCTCACCAAAACATCACCACACTCCTTAACCAAACGTTACCCCACAGCGTTTAGGTTCTGAATTTCAACGACACCAGATATAGAGCTCAGATGTCAGAGATTTAATGAAAGCAGATAATGGCTGAAAATGTCGTACCCAATCGTGTCAGTAATACCAGGTGAAGCAGAGTGCACCTGTTTCTCTGACTAAGGCAAGTGAGAAACTGGTTCGTCAAGCTCAATGTCAACTAGCCACATACTCCCACACACCCATATGCCTACAATGTGTGGACACAAACAAAGATGCCATGACACTGTGTGTAAGTGTGTGTGTGTTGGGGGGGGGGGGGGGGGGAAGACGTAAAATAAACACGCCGAACAGCTAAGTTAAAATAATTTGTTGTTTTAGTAAATTAAATTAAGCGGCATATATTTTTAATGTTATAGATTTAAAAAAACGAATTTAAAGCATATTCTATCAGAAAAAAAAAGAAAATTCAATCTTTAAACGATTGAAAACGCTTTTTTTTTGGCATTCATTACTTCGTTCGAAATTTGTACCTCCATAGAACGCTATTGCGACTTGGGTCGCGACTTTAAATTTAAAACAAAAAGTCGACGGAGGGGCTTAATTACGTTCGGTAAAATTATAAAATACTAGAATACCCGTCATCCCTTGGATAACTGTGGGTTTCGGGGGTCATCCATCAAAAAACATCACGTCTGTCACTCAGAGGCATAGCGAGCCTTCCCGGCGCCCGGGGACAAACTTTTCGATTTTAAACCCCCCCCCCCCCCCCCAAGATTTCGATTTTCAACCCCCCCCCCCCTCAAACTTTTGATGTGCACCCCCTCCCCCCCCCCCCCCCCCCCCCCCCCCCCCCACTCAAACTTTCGATTTGAACCCCCCTCAACCTTTCAATTTATTTTTCCAAACCATTTTGGCGCCCCAACATACGTCCCCCCGCCCCCCCCTTCACTCCCCCCCGCCTCCCCTCCCCCCCCCGCCTCCCCTTTCCCCCCCCCCCCGCCTCCCCTTCCCCCCCCCCCCCCCCCCCCCCCCCGCCTCCCCACCCGCCCCCCCCCCCCTCCTCGCTACGCTACTGCAGTGTCACTTATCGTCACAAAAACAGAGCCCACATTCAAAAATATGTTTCTTATCTTTTAAAAACACCGAAAACACCGATTTCGGACTATCCCTTCATATACTGACGTCACATGTGACCTACTCAACTCTACTTCACCTGCCCAGTGTCCCGCCAAGTCTCAGACAACATGTTTTTATCGTTTAAAAAACGATTCCAGCCGAGCATGTCTCTGACCACACTATCCTTTCATATGGTTAGGACAAAGAAACAGATGAACTCTACTTCACCTGCCCTGTATCCTGCCAAGTTCAGATAGGCAACTTTATCATTAACATCTAAAAAAAAAAAAAATTGAAAAAAAAAAATCATTTTTTATCATTAACATCTAAAAAAAAAAAAAATTGAAAAAAAATATCATTGACATATTGGTCTAGAACCTGTACCACTCGCATGAGAGCGGACTACGCTACAAACTTAGCTATTTACTCCTGACGTCACAAATGAATTTTTATACTATACTTTGATGCAACTTGATTTCGAGCGTCTAGTCTAGAAGTAGTAACTTTCAAATTAAATTTTATCTTAAATTAGCCAAACAAAGATTTATATAAAATAATTAAGGCCTGAAATAGATTCTAGATGTATTAAGGCCTGAAATAGATTCTAGATGTAGAATTTACATTAAGTCTAGATTTAGAATTTACATTGAGTTTAGTGATCTAGATCTAGGCTAGATTCATAAATTTCCTTCGACAGCTGATCTTTAGATCTAGAGAAATTTATTGTAAAACTAAATGAAAAAAGACAGTTGAAAATTGATATAAGTGTTGGAACGTAATAAATACAGCAAACGGACGTATTGTTAAAGTTATGACCGACAGAAAATTAGATTTAGAACGCGTTAAACTTTGGAATGGGAACACAATTTTCTTCGATAGACGCCGCCATTTTATTGTACTAAAGAGTCAACAAAAAACTCTGACGTCACTATCAAGGGACGTCACTATCCCCACAAAGTTTATTCAAAGTATTAACATTTTTTAAAAAATACGGTTAATTTAACAATGAATAAATCAATAAATTAATTAACTTCTTTAAATAAATTTGTGATTAACAGTCTGTCTGCATTAAAAAATTATTCTCTACCTACATACTATTTTACAGCTCTCCAGATAGAGCCGAACATATCAGGATACTTGATCAGGCAAACAAACAAACAAACAAAAAAACAAAAAAATAAATATTCAAACATGTAAACAAACTTGACTTTTAGTAGTATATAGATGATGACATTTACGAGCGTATTTGGTTAGAGAGTAGCGAACTATAAATAGACTTAGGTTGCCGTAGCGGTAGGCGGGTTTCCCCAAAAACAGTGACTCATACCCTATTCGTCATTTAATGAAACAATATTAATAGACTACTCGTGTCTTATAAAGGCTTATAATTGCCGTACCCGTAGTTCTGATTGGAGGCGATTTTAACCGGCATTAAAACAATAATAAGACACCCCCTAGGGATTGTGAGGGTACTGGGTTCGAAACCATACCGTTATGAGAACTAGAACATTGGCATCTCAGGGTATGAATATAAATTGTGTCTTAAATTAATTCCACGTCATCGGCACTCCCCCTAATCACACCACCTAAACGCGATAAATACAAAATAAATTATTTTTTCGAAGTTATTTATGGACGGGGTTTATGGTTAATACAACCGGTCAACGCACGGGTCTTAGAGGTTATTTAACACGGGGGGGGGGGTAGTGGACAACGGATAGCTGTACCGACTGGGTAGCACTGGCTAGCTGCTAGACAAGCTGGTAGCAGATAGACAACAATACTTACACATATTCGATAACACTAGCGAATGAGACACAGGTAATAAATAGCACAAGGCTACCTCAAGGCTACCTAAACACAAGACACCTGGTAGCAAAAGGCTAGCTATCGACACTGTCGAGAACATTGGCTACCTAGATACAAGGTAGATGGTAGCAAAAGGCTAGCTATCGACACTGTCGAGAACATTGGCTACCTAGATACAAGGTAGATGGTAGCAAAAGGCTAGCTATCGACACTGTCGAGAACATTGGCTACCTAGATACAAGGTAGATGGTAGCAAAAGGCTAGCTATCGACACTGTCGAGAACATTGGCTACCTAGATACAAGGTAGATGGTAGCAAAAGGCTAGCTATCGACACTGTCGAGAACATTGGCTACCTAGATACAAGGTAGATGGTAGCAAAAGGCTAGCTATCGACACTGTCGAGAACATTGGCTACCTAGATACAAGGTAGATGGTAGCAAAAGGCTAGCTATCGACACTGTCGAGAACATTGGCTACCTAGATACAAGGTAGATGGTAGCAAAAGGCTAGCTATCGACACTGTCGAGAACATTGGCTACCTAGATACAAGGTAGATGGTAGCAAAAGGCTAGCTATCGACACTGTCGAGAACATTGGCTACCTAGATACAAGGTAGATGGTAGCAAAAGGCTAGCTATACACAAACACTAAGTAGCACGAATCAGCTAGGACCAAGAGAGTTAATAGCAATGCACTAGCTGTTACAAACTAGGCAACCCTAATTAGCTTGGAATAAGACAGCAAATAGCAATGCACTAGCAATAAACAAACTAGACAGCACAAATTAGATTGCTACTAAAAAGCTTATAGTAATGAACTAGTTATAAACTAACATAGCAGCCCTAATTAACTTGGAATAAGACATCAAATAGCTATGCACGAGTTATAAACTAACAAGGCAACCCTAATTAACATTGGAATAAGACTATGCACTAGCTATAAGGAAACTAGGCAGTACGAATCAGCCAAACACAAGATAACTGGAAGCAAATACAACTTGCTATAAACAAACTTAACAACACCAGGCGACAGCTACTTACCAGCCTAACATAGCTTAAAACATAAACCCAAACGTCTTAACTCGTGAGCACAAGTAACCGTCTCCGTCCCCGTCCCCAGGGGTATACATACTCTACAGTCGCGCCATTAGTGACCCCGGTCTCGTTACGTCATAGACTGCCGTACCAGCCGTCTGGTGCCATGTCACTGATGGTGATCTGACAGACGACATGCCATGTGACCTGCACTAACCGCCAGGGGCGTGGATACAACTGGTGGGGGGGGGGGGGGGGTCAGAGGATCGATTTTGTCACCCCCTCTATATAAATATCAGAAAGCGCCTTAGTTTTTTTTAGCCAAGACCCATGTTATATTATTAAAGAAAAATAAATACTGACTAAATTAAGATTAGCAAAACTAACTAAACAAACGAAATTTAAAAAACAAATGCGCTCATAAACACAAGAAGGAAATAGAACCGATATGAGAAATATAAATGAAAATTCAGCAATCCATAGAATTATAGAACGGCGTGGTTGGATGGTAGAGCGCTAGACTACAAACCCGAAAGTCTGGAGTTAGGATCTCGGACAAGACTCGTGACTGTAAGACGTCCTTGAGTCTACGCAGCTGTGATGGGTACCGTACTCAC